GCGGGAGCGTGCCTCCCGTTTTTGGCTGGCAGGAAGGCGGCGAGGCAAGGGAGGCCTCAGCGGGGCGCGGGACCTGGGGTGACGGTGCGGTGACGAGCAGGGAGGGGGTTTGGCAATGCGGTGTCGCCGTGGGGCAGTGGGTGTGCTGTCGGCTGGCTGGTTCTTCCCTTGACGCTCCCTCTGCGCCAGTCACGGCTATGCCCGCTGGCAGGACATCCAGAATGACCCACGCTACGTGATCCTGAATGAGCCGTTCAAGTCGGAGATACATAAGGGGAACTACCTCGAGATGAAGAACAAGTTCCTTGCCCGGCGGTTCAAGGCGAGTTGCAGGTCCAGGGCTGGTGAGTTCTTACCGGGTGGGGGGACCAGAGCGGCTCCCCAAAGCCGTCGGGGAGCCCGCCAGTGCCTTCTGGGAGCGGAGCAGGGAGCAGTCGTGGGCTTTGTGAGGGGCTCGTGCTTGCCGGAGGAGAGCAGGCAACCGGGGCTTGATCCCGGGGAGCTCACGGGCTCTGCAGCACGGTGCATGGGATGGGGCTGGCTGCCCTGGGCTCCTCTCTGCGAGCGGGCCAGGCTGGGTGCTCTGCCCGCTCCCGGTATGTGCGATGCTGTGGAAATGCTGCCCAAATTCCCTTCTGGATGCTCTGTGTCTGAACGGGATAAGAAAACATAAGGGCTAAGCCTGTTCCCCCAAGAGTTTCTGGGAGTGAGGCTGGTGGGGAGCAGGGCAGGACAGAGGCTCTGCTGGCGTGAACCACCTGGGCAGCTGGAGCCTGTGGAGTGGTACCGGTTTACACCGGAGCAGGGGCTGGTCCTGAATCCTTCCCCTCCTGTACCTCCCAGTTGCTGGAGCAGGCCCTGGTGATCGAGGAGCAGCTGCGGAGGGCTGCGTACCTCAACATGACCCAAGACCCCAGTCACCCGGCCATGGCATTGAACGCCCGTCTGGCTGAAGTGGAGTGCCTTGCCGAGAGCCACCAGCATCTCTCCAAAGAGTCCCTGGCTGGGAACAAGCCCGCGAATGCCGTCCTGCACAAGGGTGCGTGCTGGTGGAGGGGGGGACCTGGAACCTGCCCCAGCAGGGGTGAGAAGGGTTTGCCACTCTGACTGTGGGGAAATCCAGCCGGGACGTCGTCCCCGTCTCGCATTCCCTCAGCCAGGAGCTGCCTGCTCCTCCCCAGCTCGCTTTGCCGGCGAGGGCAGTGGCACACTGCCGCTGCAGCCTGCGGTGATGGGGGTCCGCAGTGCTCTTTGCCATCAGCTCCCTGCTGCTGGAGCTCGCCAATCCCCATGGCTGGGATGCTGGGGGGGCTCCCGCCTCTGCCAGGGGTCCGGCGGGCATCCCCCTGGTCTGAGTGCCACCTCACTCTGCTCACAGTGCTGAACCAGCTCGAGGAGCTGCTGAGTGACATGAAGGCCGACGTGACGCGCCTGCCGTCCATGCTGTCCCGCATCCCGCCCGTGGCCGCCCGGCTGCAGATGTCTGAGCGGAGCATCCTCAGCCGCCTGGCCACCCGTGGGGGGGACCCCGCCGTCCAGCAGGTCAGCAGGGATGGGGACGGAGCCCCTGGCCGGGGGGTTGGCGGTGGGACCGAGGTGCAGCTCAGTGGCTCTTCTCCCTCCTTACCTCCCCAGGGCTCCTTCGGCTCCTCCCAGATCTATAACAACAACTTTGGGCCAAATTTCCGAGGTCCTGGGCCGGGCGGGATTGTCAATTATAGCCAGATGCCTCTGGGACCGTATGTGACCGGTAGGTCGGGGTTTTGAGCGGATGCTCTGGGGCAGAGAAATTCAGGGGGTGGATTTGAGCGGGCCAGGAGCGTGGCCAAAGGACAGTGGGCAAGCCGGGCATTGCCTCTCTCTCACTGCAGATATTTAGCTGTTCCCGCCATGTTCCTCCGCAGCTCCCGTTTCCAGCTGAGGTAAGGCTGCGCTCGCTGCTCTCGGTGTTTTGTTCGCCAGGGCAGACACGCGAGAGGGTGGGGGGGCCGTATGTGCCGGTGTCCGGCTGTGGCCTCTGGCTTGAGGAACCGCAGCGGGTACTGGCAGCAGAGGTGGGAGCAGGATCCTGCGGGGCTGGAGCCCAGCTGATGGGCAGCTCTCCCTTCTCCCCGCAGCAGCCCCCGGGGGCCAGGGCGGCCCCCCCCAGCCAAAAGCCACCCTGTCACTGGAGGAAGGGCAGGGGAAGCGCGACGGCGTCGCCTGCGTGGAAGATTAGCTGCTGCTGGCGCTGCCAGGCTCTCCCGCTCCTGCTTCAAGTGTGCTTCAACCGACGCAATTCCCCCCACCGTCGCCGGAGCGGCTGGGACAGGGGGTTTCATTTCCATGTACATTTTTTGCACTTTCTTATTGAAGACTTGAAGGGTTGGTCTGGGCGAGGTGGGCTGAGCTGAGAAGGGAGGGAGAGTCACGGTGTTTATGTCTGGTTTTATTGCTGCCTGTGGGGTGTGAGGGGAGGCCGGTGGGTGCCCCGCTTCCCGGCCGGCTGTGCTGGGGGGCCTATCCGGGGCCGAGTCGGCTCCCGCTCCCGAGCTTCCCTGTATGGTCCATTTCTACGTCCTCGTGGTGTTTGAACGCGTGCATGCCTGCCGCCAGCCCCGCTGCTGCAGCCCGCCTGCCCAGCCCTGGCGGGAGCATCGGCGGGCACCAGTGCTGCCGGGGGGAGCCCGGTGCTGTCCCAGCAACGGGGCTGTGGCAAGGTCTGGGGGGGTCCGGGCGTGTGCCGGGCTCGGGGCACACAGGTGGAAGGAGGGGACGGCCGGAGCCGGGATGGGGACACCTGCGAGCGCGGCAACACCGACTGCACCGCGGTGGTGGCCTCTTGCCGGAGGCTGACGGCAGCTGTAAGCAACGCCCCCGTGTTCCCTTCGTACTCCGTGTGTCCCTGTTTCTGTTCTCTGTGTTTTAATAAATCCTTTCGGAAGGATGCAGCGGCAGCCTGGAGGTAGGGGCGAGCGGCTGGGGGGGCGAGGGTCCTGCTGCGGGGGGTGCAGGTGCCTGCGCTGGTGGTGATGGGGGGGGATCCCAGCTACGGTTCCGGCTCTCCTATATGTCAATATGTGCCAATATATATGTAGATATATAGTGTAATTTTTGTATATACACACATATGTATGTATATATCTCTACAGATATATAGAGATGTGTACATATCTATATGTATACATACATGTAAATGTACATAGAACTGTAATTTTTAGATACCTGTGCATGCATGTATATCTTGGTATAAGCATATATAGATAGCAATAGGTATAGATATATATTTATAGCTAAAGGTATAGGTATTTAGGTACAGCTGTATCTATGCGGGGGGGTATATATATATATATACACACCCAGCTGCATATTTTTATAGACATGTGCATAGAATGTATTTGTAATTTTAATACGTGTGTGTTCATGTGTATATATATATATGCTTACATACATATACAGGTGAATATATAGGGGTGTGGGTATATATATAGGTATGGGTAGATAGGCATAGATATATATACATAGATATGGATGTATAGATCTATTTGCATAGGTGCATATACACATAGCTGTATCTGTGTTTATATCTACACATGTAAATACCTATTTATTTGTAATTTATGTGTGTATATACACACATACATATGTATTTAATTCTGATATATTTATATGTAAGTAGATATAAATAGATACAGATAAAGGTGTATAGATATAGCTACACATATAGTATACATGTATGTATGCACAGATACTTGTAACTTTATACATATGTATGAGTAGGTATAGGTTTATATATGTATACAAAGATCTGTGTAGTTCTATAAAGGTAAGTAGGTACAGATATGGATAAATTGACATATCTGAAGGGATCTGGCAGGGGTAGAAGTGTATCTACATCTATAGTGGGTAAATGCATACAGATAGATGTAGGTATTGGCAAAGGTATGTGTCTTTCTACACAGAGAGAGAGAATACACATAGATAGGCGTAGAGATAACTATAGCTAAATTCCAAATACATATATGTCCATGTATATATATAGGCATATGTTTTTATATATAGGTATAGATATGAGTATATATCTATTTGTAATTTTCATATATGTGTGCATATATATACATACTGATATATATGTAGCTATATCAATATATTTACATGGATATGTACACATCTATATATCTACATATATGGATATACACATATAGCTATATATGGCTGTAGATACATAAATACACATCTACAGTGTGTGTTTGTATACATATTATATACGTAGTTTTCATAGGTGTAGCGCATATATATCTACATACATATAGCTATATATATAAATAGGTATGGTATCTGCATAAAAACTGGTATAACTATAGGGATAGAGGTAGATCTACATTTATATATACAGCTGTAGATGTACATGTGTATGCAGGTATACACTTGTCACTTAGGCGTGTGCATATATAGGTGCATCTACATGTAAATAGAGCTAAGGTACGTGTGGATCGAGCACGATATCTCCCCACCTGCTTATAGATGCATGCACCCAGGTGTGCAAGATGTCCATAAATCCCTGCGTCTATATGGGGGGGCTGTACACACGCGCTCACACACTTACCTGCCATCCACCCCGGTCCCCTCCCCGCAGCAGAGCCCAGCCCCATCAGCCCCCCATCATCGCCCCATCCCGCCCCCCAGCCCTGGGAGCAGGTACTCCCCTGGGCGTGCAGCCGCAATGCAGGCAGGGCAGAGGCGAGGGGCCGGGGCACAGGCTGGGGAACAGCTTCGTGTTGTCGGCCTCGCGGGCGTACAGCACCCGCTCGCACCCCCGCGCCCACCGCCTCCGGCAACGCGGCAGGGGGCGGGAGCGACGCATGCAACGGGGTCCCCGCGCCGTGCCGGCGGCACCCGCTTCAGCTGCGGGCAGGGCAGGTCGAGGCTCCCCCCCACCGCGCCCCCCCCCCCC